TTCTCAATTACATATCTGAAGAATACAGAATGCGAATTTTCGTTCATTACCATAAAATCGAAGACAGTAAGAGTCTTACCCTTGAGCTTCTTGAACAATTGTACGTAATCTTTCAATAGTTTTCTCTCGTAAATAATCTATTTTTATAAAACCGCTCTCCAGACACACTAAACTTTTTGACAAATCTGCAAAGATGTCGAATTTTGTTAATACTTTTATTATTTTCGCTTTGATAGGCTAACTGAAATAATTGCATATTTCTATATCGTTAATCGATAAAGCTTTCAGCTAATATACATGTGTATCAACTCGAATTCTTTTAATAAATTTGATTCACCTTGAATTTTGGAAACTCTTATGGGTTTATTATTCAAAAATGCACCGCGACCTTTTCTTGCTGTGAATAACTGCTCGAGAATAGGATTGTAAACAATACCAATCGCCATCTCTTTTTTTATTGCTAATCCAACTACGATACAAGTGTGAGGAAAAGCATGAATAAAGTTAGTGGTACCATCGATGGGATCTATGATCCACGTAGGATCATCTGTCAATTCCGGGAGTTCTTTTCCGGTCGATTCCTCGCCTATAAATCTGATATCAAAACTTTGATACTTTATTTTCATTATATAAAATTAAGTATGATAAAAATTTTAATTTTGTGATTTTTATTGTGCTCGTTAAGAAATCCTTAGGAATTTTTAATTTTTATTTACTAAATAATTATACTATTTTTTGCATATACAAGTTAGCACAATAGCACACATAAAGAAAAATAGAGAACACGGTTAATCATCATGTAGTATTTTATACATTCCAATATCTACGTTAAGTATATTATAAATTTGAATCTACAGTACATATATTATTTTGTTTAGTTCATGTAATTACCTATGATCTGGAAATTTCGTTCTTAGTTGATCAATAAGAACAGCCTCTATTTTTCGATCATATTCTGTTACTAAATCCCAATTACCTAGTTTTTCATCGATTGTCTTTGTAGTGTTGATTGCTGTCTTGAGTATCTTTGGAAAAAAATTAATAACTTGACACGTTATAATTATTTGCAAACAAGGTGTTACCTGTAGTTTATACTTTATTATAAGAATCTATAATTCATTATGAAGTGAACATTATTTTAATGACAAATTCGTGAAAATTCGTATATACCATAGGTAATGAATGCGTCATAAAATTTTCCTGCATTTATAAATAGCGAATTCCACTTATCCTTATTCATTTTTCTGCGTATTGAATGTTGAAATTACGTTGAGTATTACTATTACTGTACAACAATAATTCAATTCATATTCAAAATAATAAGTCAAATTTTCAAGTAACATCCCAGATAGACAATGTACAGCAAATTTGTGACAAATTTACTGAACTCTGCGTCACGAAATGCAGCAATATTATGCGCTTTATGAGTGCTCACCTTGGCATTAAATTTAGGACACGTAATGATTCAATTAGGATGAGAAGTATTGTAGCAATCTTTATACACTCTTGGCGATATTCTGTTTAGAATATATTTGAATCATATTTGAGTTATGGTATGCTGCTAAAATTTACATATAGTTTACGCTCTCCAACGCATATAATATGATTCATATGTGCATGCATATTTTCATCATATCTCGATCATGCGATGATTATATACAGGGTGGACCAGTAGCTTTTAGGAATGGAATATTTTCGTCATTTTTGGAGATACGAAAAGTTTTATTAACCAAAATTGTTTAATTTAAAGAATACTATAACGTTTCGTGTGTTTACGTATGTTTGTAGATAGAAGAGTTACGGAAATTTCATAGTCCACTCTACTTTTTTAAATTGACTTATAATATGCTTTTTATCCGCTGGTTGATGCAGCTATTGACACTCCTTATAAAAAGGTATTTGCCTATAATGTTTGTCGAAAAATTGTTAGCAGATAACTATGAAGCCTCCGTATCTCTTCTATCTATAAACATACATAAACGCACGAAATGTTATAGTATTCTTTAAATTCTTTGATTAATAAAGCTTTTCGTAGCTTCAAAAATGACGAAAATATTCCATTTTTAAAAGCTACTGATCCACCCAGTTATGCATATGTACATATACCTCCTCGTGGTGGTAATTAATGAATTCAATTAAGCTTTATTTATTACATTTTTATTATTATAAATTTGTTGATAACATTATACATATATAGTACTGTAACAAAATAGTGAATATAGGTATGTATAAGTCTTTGGTTCTGAATAAATTATAAATTTTACTATCTTACAGTTCTGGTTCTCAATCATTCTCAACATTAGTATAATCTTCTTGTCTTCTACACCGTCAAACAAAGACTGCTCTTCCTCTCTAATCCGTTGACGGACTCTTACTCTAGCATTTTGTGCATTTCTTAAAATTTGTTTATTCGACCTTAATACGTCTTTCATATTACATATAAATTCTTCCTTCGTAAATGACCGGACTTCGGCACTATACATATAGCTCGTAGCGTCATCAATACCGTCATCTATTTACCTTAAATTTGCGCAAAATTTACTTACATTTGTGCATCGAAAAATAAGGATCATATGTAAATCATATTTGCAGCAATCAATGATGATATGTAATGATTACAAATTGTCTTCATAAGTTTATATCAAATTAACAACATATGCTGTGGCTACATTGAGAAAATTGATATGAATATAACAATGTAACAATAGTGATCAAAAATATTACAAATGTATTGGTTCATTGCATGATTACGAATTGAACTCACGATATGATATAAAATTTGTATAAACATATTTGTTCAAACAGAATTTGCTTCAAATTGATTTCAATTTTTGACAAATTAATTTCTACATCTCGTGACGATCATGAAAGTCTATCTGGGATAAAGAATATATCATAGTCATAATATGACTTGTATTTAATACATAGAAACATTTTCTCGTAAATAGCAGCGCGTGTCTATATACGTATAATTACTGAATTACATAAGATAATTTTTATTGAATTTTCCCATGAATGAATGAACATACGTCTTGCTAAAATCTGATGTTAGTCATTTGTACGTAACAGAATTATACACTAGTCATTGATTTAATATCTTACAATTGAATAAAAATGTCTATTAGAAGTATTCTATATTTAATTACGATAGAACGTTGACTATCCGAAATAATTGAAAGACAAACTCGTCCGGATAAGTGATTTTTCGAATATCTGGAAATATTCCATTTGTGATGCATGTCATATCAAGTAGAAATTAAACAGCTTCTATCTGTGGATGTATTTCTACGCAAAAAGTACATTCATCATGTAAAAATGAAATATCTTTAGATGCTATCAAGTTGCGAATTCCTTCGAAAACAAACGTTTATGAAGTATCTATAAATTCCTTTTTATATTTTCCTCATTGTAGTGCATTATTCAGTAAATGTTTCTTTCTCGTTATGTGTTAGGATGATACATGGGTCAGTATTATATATCGGTATATCCTTTCTTATACCATTGTATTTGTCAAATTCGGACGAGGTGATCACCACTCATAGTTTCATATCCTGAACTATTTTATTAAAATAAGAAATTGAATGGAAAACATACGTATTCTAAAATGTGACCATCGATAAATGCATAGTTTAAGTTATACATATAAATGATACATATACTCTGTATCCGGGTAATAGAATATTCGGTTAAACAACGTGTTGGAGAACATTGCACGGCGTCGTCTGGATAATCGAGACTCTACCGTATATAATTTTATATTACAACGTGTAGTCTCATAATTTCAATAGTTGTATAACATAATCTTACTTTTCTTTTATACAAATATCATCATATAATCCTTGCTCGTTGTGAAAATATTCAAAAGATGCGTATAGAATTATATCCAACTTCTCAGCGATAGTGAGCATGCATGCTTACTTGAGCGGCATCGTGAACTAGCTTGATGACGAACTCATAGTATACATCCTCCATAGAACGTGCCATCTTTTTGAACTTGCTGGTGAACGGTGAACACGGCCCTAGTCACCAAAACGCATCAATGGAAACTGCGTCTGATGCAACAGTACCGCGTACTTTTTATTCGTCTTGAGAAAACGTACAAATGATTCAAGGATGACTTGATCTATTGATTTACTCGTATCCAAGTTTCACAAAATATAATTTTGAACCATGGTTTATTACATCGTTGGCGCAGACAATCTCTCGAGCTTTCAGATAGCAACATTTGGACTACGATTAGAGTTTGTACTGTAATTATCTCTTTAATTCAACAAATATGAAAATTTATGGTATCTGACACTCGTTAAAGCTGGTTAAATGAGATAAAATCTGGAAACAACGCTCCGATGACGATACCTACGATTTTTTGTCGCTAATCACTGTTATCTATCTGATAAGAAATAAGCTCTCCATAAAATAATTAATTTATTATTTCACTATCCATGTAATAGCGTTTTTGAATTGACATTGCAATCAGATTGACACCAAAAACTACTNGCAGTTATTTTAATTTGTTTAAATTTGATTACAGGCCTTGCTATTTATTGCATTTTCGAAACATATTAATGTTTTCTTTCTGTAATATGATTTTTTTCATTTTTACACAATCGTTAGGAGTTGAATGAAAATGCATTTTGTATTTCATAAAATACGTAGAACGTATAATGTTCTAAATTTGAAAAGTAGTACAACCTTGATATAACTTTTCCAGAACTAGAAATCGTGAATTAATTACGCATTTCAGTTTTAACGATGATATTGCAAATATATGCTCAACATTATATCCTGTGTAGAAGGTAAATGGATATTTTATAAAAACCAACAAGAAGTGATTATTTAAAATCATTGTAGACTTCATTCTTAGCATTAAAATAATTCAGTCATCATACAACACAAACACATTTATTTTGTCATTGTCAATCTCCTCAGTGTTTAGCAGATTTTTTCTTTATCATAGTACATATTCCTTAGAGTTTCATATGTTGTTACACATTTTATCTGACTCTAATATTCAGTCAACCGTAAAAATTTTGCAACCATGATTTAAAATATCTATGAATCATTACACTTCCTTGGCCAGCCTTCGGTTACTCTTTTGCGTTCCTACAGCCATGTTACGAGTAATGTTCCACTGCGCACAGGATACGCGTGTACATCGTGTGCACGGAGGCACGACTTGATTTATAATTGTCTCGCTTTTTGCGGATCTAATTAGCATATATCCTGCTCGTCTAACTGTGAAGTATTCAGTTTTCTGAGACATTGCCATAGATTCGTCAGAATTTATGTACACGCCTTTTAAATTAAAATTATGCAATGGGTGCATAATTTCGAATTGAATATTTAGCCACAGGCATAAAATAAGATATGGGCGCTTTATAAATGTTCCAGTTTATGAGTTTCCAGTTTGTGAGCATACATCGCATTATTATTGCATTTATTGTATATACTCCATATTTTTTGTAGATCATTTGAGTCATTGATCATTATGGTGATCGACGTTCCTTTTACTCCTTTAATGAATCATCTGCATGCTACACGTATGTACTTGCAGGTCACCCAAATTCTTAACAATTGCTATTTAGGCCGTGCTCTAAGACACTTGAGTTTTTTTAGATTTCTTCGTTTCATTCTGTAGATTAATTAAACTGGACTACAGTGTTCCTCAAGTATTCTAAAGATATGTAAATTATGTCATGAGTCATTTAATATCCGGAAAAAGCTTTTGTTACTCATAATTCACTATTTGAACAATAATCTATAATATTTATTAAATTAACATGAGAAAAAATGCGATAATAAGATTATTAGATATTTCTATAATAAAATTATAATTTTTTAAATACATTAACAAGTCACATCTTGTTGCGTAATAGATTCAATCTGAAAATTCTTAATTCACTGATCTCGTATTGCTAATTCGCCATCGTATGTCATTCGATTTCATAGTCTGTTATGTTCTTTTTAATCTCTTCCGCATTATCTTCAAATCAGTATCGATAATTAATTTCTTTATTTCCATAACTAACTCACAAGTTACTCCGCCTATTATATTTGGTCTCATAATATTAAATTCCTTCTCTGCAAGAAGTTCATTTACATTATTTAAACAGAATATTTCTAAGTCATTTACAATGGAAGATTTTTTCATATTCTTCAAATTACGTTCAACTATTGTAAATTGCATCAATCAAATAGTACCAATGCAACACTTGATGATTCATGATACAATGATGACTAGTTGATTGATGATATTTATAAAAATCACATTAACATTAAAACAATTACCATATAAGTGTACAAACCTTTTGCATCTACTACAGTGCCACCTGCTTCACGAATTAGCAATACTCCTGCTGCAATGTCCCAAGGTTTAAGCATTTCCATATAAATGCAGTCCAACGCACCTCGTGCTATGAATGCCAAAGCCAACGCTGCAGATCCCATGAATCTAACTCTAATTTCGAGTACAAAACAATCAACGAATATTTATTACATTCAATATAATAATATCAGTGCAACTAAAACATCATAAATCTCTAAAAAACGAACTTGACTGGTCTGAACCATTATAATCTACTTTGATTCGAACATAAGATATTTTTTCGATTTAATTTTCGAAATATGTAATACCTAGTTGCTTTACGCTTAAATCGTTTTTAATTTTTGAATTTGCATTTAGAATAATTCTTTTTTTTTATTTCCCAATGCAAATACGTGAAATGAGGCACTCACCCTCGTGCAGCATGAGTCACTGCATCTAGTCTGCCTGCTCTGAGGTCCCGATCTTTTGAAGGAAAACGAATCGAAAACATCTCGATTTCTATTAAAGCCTTCTTTAGTTC